CTGTTCAGCTTCCACGTCTAGCTATGCATCCACTTGTAGATTATTGTTTATTATTACTGCTATTGAAGGATTGTGTATATAATAGCATGGTTGCCCTTTACTCCCAATGTCTTCCTTTGCTTTGCTCTTGTTGTTCTGACCTCCACCTTATTGTATATTGCCTTTCCCTTCACCCAAGTTAATACATGTCTACTCTTCAGTTAGTGATTTTTCCTCCCTCTCCCTCCCATCTCTGGTAACCATCAGAGAATGTTTACCCTATGTGCAAACCTTTTCTTCAATTTTTATAACAGTGGTCCTGTACACTATTTGTCCTTTAGTGTTTGACTTATCTTGCTCAGCATAGTATCCTCCAGGTTCATCCATGTTATGAGGTGTTTTGCAGATTCATCACTATTCTTTAAAGTTGTGTAGTATTCCATTGTGTACTACACAGCTTTAAAGAATAGTGATGAATCTGAGAAACATTTCATACCATGTTGTTGTTGTTAGGTGCCATTGAGTCGGACCTGACTCATAGTGACCCCTCCTTGGGTTTCGAGGCAGTATCACTATGGAAATAGACTGCCCACCCTTCCTTCCGAGGAGTGGCTGGTGGGTTTGAACTGCCAGCCTTCTGGTTAGCAGTCAAGTGCCTTAAGCAGTACGCTACCAGAGCTCCCTGTCATACCACAAATGAGTAGTATTCCGTAGTTTAAGGAGCTCTCGTGGCATAGTGGATAAGGCACTTGACTGCCAACCGGAAGGTCAGTGGTTCAAACCTATCAGCTGCTCCATGGAAGGAAGACAGGGCAATCAACTTCCATAAAGATTTACAGCCTCAGAAACCCAATGGGGGTCGCTATGAGTCCGAAGCGACTCAGCAGTGAGTTTGTTTTCTTATTCCTTTGTGTGTATGCTTCATAGTTTATCCATGCATGGGTACTTAGATTGTTTCTATCGTTTTGCTACTGTGGATAATACTGCAATGAACATTAGGTGCATATACCTATTTGTGTCACAGCTCTTATTTATCTAGGATATACACCTAGTAATGGGATTACTGGTTCATATGGTATCTCTAGTTTTAGCTCGTTAAGGAAGTGCCATACTGTTTTTTATCATGGTTATACCATTTATACATTCCCATCACCAGTATATAAGAGTCCCAATCTCCCCACAATCTTGCTAGGATTTATTATTTTCTGTTTTTTTTTTTTATTAATTTCATCATTGGGGTGAATGGTATCTCACTGCAGTCTGGATTTGCATCTCTTTAATGGCTAATGATTGCAAGCATTTCTTCATGTGTTTATTGTCTGACTGAATGTCTTCTTTTGTAAGGTATTCATGTCCTCTGCCCATTTTTTAAATTGAATTGTCTTTTTGTTGTTGAGGTGTTAAAGTTTTCTATAAATTTGAGATATTAGTGCCTTATTAGATATGACATTTCACATTCATGACCACAGTATAAAATCTGCTTTCTGAACATTTTGCTCAATAACGATATATATCTGGTAGAAATGAATGCCAAGGTGTGAAGCAAGAGTAAATGGTGGCTGTGATGGTTAAGGTTATGTGTAACTTAGCAAAGCCATGATTCTCAGTGGTTTGGTAGTTATGTAATGATGAAATGTGACATTTATGTAATGATATACACATCCTTCATTTTGTGATCTGATGTGGTCATCTTCTATTTTCATGTAACATCAATATTCATATAATGTCCTGGTATTTGGAAACTCACCTTGCTAATAAGTGAGGTGTAGATGTAGAATTATTTGACTAAACTATCTGATTTGCATAATTTTTAGTGCCACAGAATATTCTGAAAGTTAAACTGTTTTAAGTAAATTCTAGTAGAAATTTACTATAAAATAACACTTTTTACTTACTTAAATTCCATTCAAGGCACTTCTACCCCAGGAATGTTTTAACATTATTGGACTTTGGAAACTTACTTTCAAATCACTGAACTCTTACCATAACACCTTTTTCCCCCTGGGGACCCAGTGGGCCTGGACTTCCACGCTCTCCCTTTTAAAACAAGAAAGAAAAAAGATGAACCTTGAGGTATATTGGCATAGTTAGGATTAATTTTAGCCTACAAAGAAAAATTGTCAGAATCATATCTTATACATACATATATCTCATCATAACATCCAATTATTTTTAAATTTTAAAATTGTGCATTTTTCTCTAAAATTGCTAATTTTTAATATAATAGAAATTATCTTAAGATATTTTTCATGGGATAAAATTCTCAAAGACTTATTAGATGAAGAAAACAGAAATTATGGAGAAATAATCAAGATTTAAAATTGAGAATGTATCATATGCTTAAGTTATGTAAGGAGATAATTCTTAAAATTTTATGAGACACACAAAAATGAGAAGAGTGAACTCAACAAAGCATATTATAAAACTTAATTATTTAATCTGTATAATCATTGAGCAAAACTATCTCCATAGTCTGTCCACCACAATTAAGTGTCACAGAAATAATTTTGGAGACTCATGATAACCAAATTTGCCAGAGCAGATTAAAAGGACTAAATTTATTCATATTAAAATCCCCAGGATTGTTAAATTCCTGTTAAAAATCAAGAAAGAATTAAAAAGAAAATAACTATAAAACTATGTAAATTTTAATCTAAACTGTTAATATATTTTGTTATATTGTTAAAAAGAATAAATATATATTAAACATTTTCTATGTACTAAAGGAATGAACATTAGTGTATGTAGTGCCAGAAGGCTGGCAGTTCAAACCTACCAGCCACTCCTTGGAAGGAAGACTGGGCAATCTACTTCTGTAGTGATACTGCTTTGGAAACCTACGGAGGGGTTGCTATGAGTCAGATCTGACTCAACAGCAGTGAGTGGTTTTTAAGTGACTTAGATTTTACCCTCAAATAATTCCAGAGATGATGTTAATGAAGATGAAACAATTAGAGAACAAATAAATTTTTGGCTGTCTTGTACTATTCTAAATCTAGATGGGAAGAAATAAAAAAAGAATTAGAAGAGCCTGAGGAGACTTCATAAAAAAGATGGGAATTCACCTAAGTATTATAGTTTGGGTTTGAGTAAATAAAAGGCAAGGAGAGGATATTCTAAACCAAGAAAACAATAATAATGCAAATAATCGGAATAGGAAAAAGTACATGATACATGAAACAGGGGCAAGAAGAAGATGTATATTATAGAATATTAGAGAATTTGTTAAACAAGCTGATCAAGCCAAATTTATGTAGTGTCTTGATAGCAAGGTAGAGGAGCTCATAGAGTTGGCAACAGGCAGCCAATGAAAGTTTTTCAATATGTTTCCTCATCATGACCCATTAAAATCAGTGTGCTACTGCAGTATGTAAGGCATATTAGAAGATAAAGAGAGAAAGAATAGAAAACATAAGGCAGAGGGGAGATTTAGGCATAATCTAAATTATTATATTATTAAACATACCATATAATATATGAGGGTATGTCTAAGCAGGTAGCTGGTGAACTAATGGAAAAGTTGAATTATAAAGAAGAACCCAATCCATAGTACCTGCTGAAAGAGTAGCCAAAGAGGATGATAGAAAGGAAAAACCTAAAATGGGTTATCTACCCTGACTGAGAAAATAGAGATAAGGTATAAGGATCACTGATAGAAATGAGGTAACTTAGAAGAGGTCAGTTGGATTTACAATAGCCAAAACATGGAAACAACCTAGGTGTCCATCAACTGAGGAATGGATTACCAAACTATGGTACATACACACAATGGAATAGTATGCAACACTAAAGAATAATGTAGAATCTGCAAAACACTGCATAACGTGGATGAACTTGGAGGACATTATGCTGAGTGAAATAAGT